TAATAAAGATTCACCGAGAGCGCCAATCCAGCCCATTCATCATTAAGTTTCCCGATGAATTGATTCCAGAGGACGCGATTAATGATCCTATCAACCCATATCTTTTTTAGATCTTCTTGGTGGGTATGAGGGGCGCCAAAGAGCAGGAGAGAGGTAATAATGAACAAGAGCGACCGATGACTATGATCCTTGTAGATTGTCTGGTCGGAATCCAGTCTTGCACCTGGCTGTCCACAGAAATTGAAAAACTTTGCTTTGACTATTGCAATATTAGCGAAAGCTGGTAGAGTCTTTTGTTACGCACTGAACTCGGACATGAATCGAGCTGAAAGAAGATGATTTAACGTACTCCGGGAAGCACAACGTTCAGGATACAAACACACCCACAACACATCTCGTGTGCGTAAATTCTCCTTCGAGGGTTCCTGTCATAAAAAACATCAGTCATCTGGATTGTGTTCCCAAACCTTTACCAGAAGTAGTACCTTCGATCTCCTTAACAAGGTCCAGCATCTTCTCCAGCTCGTCCCTCTCAAACGGAGCGACAGATGTCACAGACGTGATGGTCACTGAGGTTCACAAACATCAACTTCTCGCTCGAGGAGATGCAATGTGATATCGGAAATCACCTGCCGCAGCATGCATAATCATTTGTTTTAATTCCTCAAGAACATCCGGCGTCACTCGATTTTCATGTGGAAATAGTTCACAGTGAGTCCTTGAAGTTGTCTGAGTCATCATCAAATCCACACAAGCGGCTGACACGATGTCAGAGACTGACCCTAGTCACACAAAATAATAAACATACCTGGACCTCACCAGTACTGGGCTTCAATAGCGTATTCTAAAATCGTGCATGTTAACATACAGAAAGATGCGGGAGATAGTCAGAAGTCACACACTGATATGACCCATGTTCCTCACTCGCCTGATGTTCTCGAACAAGGATTCTGCGTCAAAACGTTCTAGCCAGAAGATGCACCGCGTGTCCTGTTCGACGAAATAGTAGCCGCAGGTGTGCTCATCAATATCCTCAACGACCAATTCCGTCTTGCTAGTGATATCTATGTTTGGGTTGGTTTGTGCGTCGTTATATAGCTTATCTGCGAATGCCTCGATCGCACTGAGGGTTGACGGTTTTGACAAGTCAGCATCAGTATATATCCGCTGCCGCTTTCGTTAATGATTGTGTGGAGTGTCGAATCTGAACCTACACAAGTGCTCTCGTAGTAATACAAGGCACCTTCAGGGTGCGCAAGTGGTTTCCATCGACTAGAGGGCGGTTTGCTTGGCGTCGTCAGCTCACAATAGTCCAGCCGCAGAAGAAGCACATACTCCTCGAACACCTTGTTCCCCGGCTCAATAAACACGCGGTCCTTCGTTTGGGGTCTAGGCCGTGATTAAGAATCGAAAGAGGAGGCCGATAGCGCCTCATACCGACTTACATTGTCCGCTTCCTCTTGTATCGATCTATATCAGATGCTGGAATAGGCTTCGCCTTGCGTGTCGATGTAGAAGGAGATATTGTGCATGACGATACAGATATGCCAGAACTTGAAGGGTTAATGTTGCTGCTCGGTGCGGTGCATGCACCGCTTGCTGTAGCGACTGGAGTCGCACTAGCAGAAGGTACCGGAGATGAAGGTGGTGACTTCTGTGGGGTTGGTGAGCCTCCAGGACTGCTGACTGTAATATGAGGTGCTGTTCTGATAACGAGTGACTACCTTAGCATCTTGCTGCTTTAGAGTATTGACGGGGTAAGACATACTGTGGCAGCGTGGAAAGAGGATGGCTTGTTGGCAAAGTTGTGGAAGACCCTTGAGGCCTTAATCGCAGGCGAAGATGGACATGATTGAATTAGTACAAAGAATAGAGCACCACATTGCAGACGAACCGGCGTGCCCAAATGTAGTTCAAAACCGTGCTTAGCCCACCTCCGGCACGGCTTCGTAAATTCGACTGAGAAGACATTGAAGTCAATCAGTATTCAAGGGGATGCTGAAGGTTTCCCAGCCTAAAGCTGAAGCGCCGGACAGCCTCTAAACGCTCCAACCACGTGTAGTCATGTACTGTGATTGCACATTCATCGTGCGCGTGTTGCTGCATTGATGCAACCCTCCTGACTACTGGTGATCCGCTGGGTACTGCCATCAGCGTGAAACCTGAAGAATAACATCGGAGTCGCAGGAGGCTACTCGGTGACTCGGTTGCCCAGCTGGCCATGTCAAAAAATTCAAACTGACGAACCAACAAGAGGATTTTCCGATACCTCGGAGTTGCTTTGGAATTTAGTTTGCTGCTGCTGTAGCCTTACAGTACTAGCATGCAATGCGCACTGCGTGGCACAACTGTGCAATCAGTGACAAAGCATTTGCCATCGGCCATCATCCCGACCGCCACGTCACGTATATAAACAGCCAAGTGCTTGAGTTCGCTCGACATCTACCTCCTGTTGTTTATTTATTTATTCATCTCAGATTCTCAGCACCATGGGTTTCTTCTCAAAGTCATTCGACCCAGTCACTGACCTCCCGGACTTGTCTGGTAAAGTCATCCTGATCACAGGCGGGAAGTGAGTAGTAATTATATCACAGATTCGGATTGTTATTCACAGCTGCTTTGTAGCGCAGGTATCGGCTACTCAACTGTGAAGCACCTGGCACGTCGTGGTGCCAAGGTGTACATGGCTGCGCGCAACCAAAGCAAGGCGGAGGAGGCGATCACGCAACTGAAAGCAGAGGGGTTGGGCCCTGGAAGCGGTGATGTTATCTGGTTGGAACTTGATTTGAAGGACCCTCGGAATGCGAAGAAAGCAGCAGAGAGATTTATGAAGCTCGAGAAGAGATTGGATGTTCTGAGTCAGTATATCTTTTTGTTCGTTCATAATTTTGGCATGCTGAATGGATCACAGTTCACAACGCTGCGGTGTAAGCTGATCAGCTCGCGTAGGTGTGCTTGATACTGAATCCCCTATAGGTTACTTGAGAATTACAGCATGACTCCGGATGGTAAGCTTTGGTCTTGCACTGTAAAGATCTGTACTTACACAATACCCCAGGAGTTCAGGAGATAGTGATGGTTAAGTGCGCCTTCTGGCAGAAAAAACATGTACCGAGCACTTACCTATGTTCATTCCAGCGTAATAAGTCATATCGTCCTGACACGCACTCTTCAACCGCTGCTGGACCAGACAGCAGCAGAACCTAATTCAGACGTCCGCATAGTCGTCGTATGTAATGCTTTACCGCATGCGTCCCGAAAACTCACACTTCCATATTACTACTACTCAGGTCGGTTCAGAAGCCCACCGGTTCGTATTAGGGGAAACTCATTTCCGGAACCTTGATGATCTTAACAATGAGCTCAAGAGTTCGCTTTCCCCCACCTTCGCGCGGTATTGTACGTCGGTCGTCCCTTGGTATCTTCTGTCTTACAAATTTTCTTCACAAGGCATGACGAAACTCATGAATATGCTCTACGCTTTTGAACTTCACACGACACCTCACCGCTGTTGGCTCTCCATCACCGTCATCGCCGCTCACCCTGGAGCAGTCAAACCTTTTCCGATAAACCATTCAAGTTCATCGTCAAGCCCATCGTGTCCCTTCTTTTACGTCCAGACCAGGTGCATATAACTCGGCGTTTGCAGCTGCGTCGGAGGAAGTGACTAGGCAGCGCGAGAAGTACAAAGGCGCGTATTTAACGCCAGTAGGTAAGCTAACGGAGCCGACGAAGGTGGCAAAGGATGAGGGGCTTACAAAGGAACTTTGGGATACCGTGGATAAGTTTTTGGAGGAGAAGGGGATTTAAGGGAAGTTTTGTTCTATTGATGCATGACGGATAGCAGTGCCTCCAAGAGGTGTTGAATGGACAAAACGTCGATACTAGATTATGATGGAACAATTATCCCTGTTGATATGTTATTATGTACATTTGCATGGCGCTGGTGCCTATCTGGCTTTTCCTTTTCTTCTGTCTAGTACATCACTGCATCGTGTCTTACACCTTACTGTATGTCATTCCTACATAATCATTTTATTAGCCCTTAGTCTGTGTTGCAATTAGCATCGAAGGTCGAGTGAGTACGCAACGATGCGATTATTCGACAAGTCAAGGAGGTATTTCCGCCTGAGTTTGAGTCAGCACAGTGCCCAGCTGTGAGTTGCAGCAATGGCCCCTGTACTTCATAACCCGAGTCACGAAAACTGAGATGGCGGCCGAGACCTGATTCAAACCGAGCATATGGTGATAGGAAAGCTGCTAGGTTGCATAAGACAGCAAGATGTCTTCAGATCATGGTAGATGGCACGCGAAGGACATTATACATATCTATGGATAAACCAGAGCGTGTGCCCACAACCTTTCTTCCCTGGAGATGAAAATTCCAAACGATGCATTCAAGCATGCGAAATTTAATGATTCCGGACAGTGTTGTCAGTGAACGAAAGGTCTGCTAATAGTATAATTAGCCTACATGAATGTGAAATAGACTTTCCCAAGTTGTCTAGCGTTAGAAGCATTCACTGTCTGGTTTACAACGTACCTGCTGGTGGTTCGCATGCTTTGGAGGCCAAAAGGGGTCGTATGAAGTTAACAGGAAGCTTCAAGTTGTACAGCTGAATTCTACGGCATGAATGAAGATGTTCAGTAACCAAGAAAATACTGCCAACGATAGCGCCACGGGCAGAGCTCGCGATGGGCCACCTCGGATATGGTATGCGTCAGTCTGTATCACAGGTGACGAAATCGCACTCGAAAAAAACTGAACATGCTAACATGTATTATGGTCATGCTGATCATCAGTTGGTCCAAGCCCTATTGTATTTGATGAGCTGATTTTGGAGACATAGTAAGAGCCTCGTTACCCTTCCAAATCATGGTATTGCCGATTGCCTAGATAGTCTCTGGTCAGACAGCAAGTCGCCAACGAAAGAATACCTCTAGCACTATTACATTGTCTTAACCATTATCATTCCCACTGGCCACGGGGGCAGCCCCCTGCATCATGTCTAAAAGAAGGGGGGCCGGGGTCCTTGTATACATAGATAAAATGAAATCATCAGTTGGAACGCCGTCACGTCGACGGCAACACTAAACAAACAGATACGTGGAAGAGCGTATGATTGACGGTACGGAAAGAGAGAGATAAGATATATACAGGATATGTGCGTCTGTGCGTCTATGACGTAGTGGTAAGCGTCAGGCTTAGCATCAGTTCTCTGATCGTTCAACTAGCGCAGTGATATGATCCTAGAAAGCTCGTGACATCAACAGCAGAGGGGCGACGTCCTACATCACTCCAGCATTTCTCAATGAAATCCCAGAAGAATCTGCGTCGTGCGGACTCGATGGTCTTGTAGGCTTCTTCGGGACAGTGTCTTGATGGTCGTTTCGCACATCTGCATTGGGTGATTGACCTGTCATAACCTACGGGATCTTAGTCACAAACCAATGCAACTACTAGGGAACGCCTCGAACCTGAAGCGCGATGCATCCGAAGGAATAAATATCGCTAGCTGGCTGTGGAGGAGTCGATGACTCTTCGTCCTTGAGGATTCCATCGTATGCTACGTAGGCATTGTGATCCGAATCTATCAGAATGTCGTTCTGCGTTCCAGATCAGAGCTAGAAGGCGAGTATCAGACAACTAGTACGTACAGCAGTAAGGTTGCCGTGGACGATGCCCTTCGAGTGGACTGCAATGGCGTTACTCATTGTTTTCATAAACTATTGAAGATTTCACATACGGTAGCTGATGGCTGCAGCGACTTGCCGCAACTAAGGTTCCAATGAATACCATAATGTACGAGCGCTTCTGAGAAACAACTCACGATCCGGAGCTTTTTTCGATGGTCAATTCTGTGAAATGGTGTTCAAGATATGTGGTGAGCGAGCCGTTGTGCATCCAGGGGAAAACCATCGCTGGAAGTAGCCCAAATTCGTAACTGAAACCGAGCAGAGGCAAAAGATTTTCGTGATGCAGTTGCTTCCGTGCATGATAGTCGGCCAAGAGTCTCTGCGAAGCCGTGGTTTGAGCAAGCGTATCACATGCAAAGGAGAAGCCGAGAACGTACTCGAGTAAGTCTGACCCTGGGATCGTCGTTTGTGATATCGATTCTTATGGATTTGACTGCTACCTGTCATGGATTCAGATTGCTGGACATCCATACGTGTAGCATGCTTGCCTCCAGGTCTTCACAGTCACGGTCCCATTGGCGGAATCTGCATTTCCACACATCCCCAAAAACTGCCATGTGCTATTGGATGAGTGGACTCCTGACTACGCGTCCCGTAAGGTCTTCTAAGCTGCATGAGAAGTCGCATGAGGAAGTGCGTTGTCCCAGGGTACCATGATCATGGATTTCCGCTTTTTCGTGGTCTAGCTCACTACCACCGGGGTAGCTACCATGATAGATGGGCGGCTTCCCACAACGACTTCCTCCCGACCTTCTCTAACCA